CGCGTTCTCCAAATTTCGTTAAGTAACTTGACTTGACCCCAAAATAGAAGTTGGAGCTAAGTTCATGGAGAAGGGCATGTAAAAAGATGGCACCAGTTTGACCTCGTTTTCACCGTCAATTTGAATGTTTGCTTGTCGCTGTCAATACGCTGACACTAGCAGTTTGTGGCTTAATTACCCGTTGTTGAAGAGCTCTAATGACCTTGGTCTCTAAATGAAAAATGAAGAGCAGTTCACGGGCTTCAAACTTCATTTTTGGCCCTTGGACCAATTCGGACCAGAGCGGCCCAAAGCGGCGCCCCACCTTCCCTCACCGTCGTCAGCGGCGTGTTCGCTGAGAATGACTCCGTGGCGGCCATGCACCAGGAGCGCGCCCCACCATTGCCGGACGCCGCTGCCAAGGCGCCCCTAGCTCCGCCACGCACCGCCTCGCCCTCTGCTCCTCCAAAACCATGCGCCGTATGCCCCAAAGATTCACTCGCTCCCCACTTCCTTATTCACTCCTCCCTCATAGCATTCATCGCCAGCTGTCATCGTCGCCATTGCGCCGCGGCTAAGCTCGAGTTGTCATTGCCGGCCATAAAACTTCTTTGCCCTCGGCCTCTCGATGCCCAGCCACGCTTGATCGTTGCTGCCACTCTAATATATCGCACTGTGCCCCTCTTGTTGCCGTGGATTGGAGTTAGCTGTCACGCAGAAAGCTGTCAGCCTGCCACTGGACGCCATGGTCGAGCCACCTTGGGCCACCTTGGGCTAAGCCGAGTGGCATCATGAAGTGTTCAGGGCCCCTGGTGCTCCTCCGCCTCCATCGCCATGGGCCATGGCCGAGCCTCCTCTCGGCACCGTGAGCCTCCGACGGCCCTCTCTGCTTTGAAACCCCGTCAAGGACTTTCGCGCAAGAATTCGAAGAAAGGGAGGGTCTTATCTGCAATGTCATAGACTCAGGTGAATAGTGCCATAAGGACTGGTTTGTAATTATTTTGCAGGAACTTTGGAAATTCATAGTAAATCGTAGGAAATTCGTAAAATAGCAAATGAGGACTTTTGGAATCCTTGTGAAATTGTCTATGCAGTGGATCTATAATATGGCATGTTTTAGTTTAAATATTTTGCGGTAAAATAGATTTGTGCAGGAAGGTTGTAATGCTAGTTGAATTTGAAACCGGTTTTTTCATAACTGTAGATCTAGGGCTCCAAATGAAGTGAAATTTTTGTGGCATGCTACTCATGTGATAGTTGATGTGTGGTAAAAATTTCATGAGTATTGGATGAAGTATGAGTGAGTTATTGGTTTATCTTGCTCTCACATGAATTCTTGCTTTAGCAACTTGTCTTTTTCATAGAGGTTGCTATACATATTCAAATGGAGTGAAATTTGTACAGTAGACTATTGAGAGGACATGTGAGCCACTGTAATTTTTGTAGAATTTATTGTATACTTTTAGTATATGTTCATTAAGTCACCTTGTTATCTAAAATAAATTAAGAAATGCATTAAAAGAATTTATTTGGTCATGGACACTAGGTTTTCTGGTGTTCTTTAGTCATGTGTGAAATGTTGGTAAAGTTGGTTTTTCCCAATTATGCATTTGCAACATAAGTTAATAATTATTTTCTTGCCGGTGTGGTTTATGGACAGATCTGGGAACTTAGCAAAGTTCTTCATGATAATGTGCTTTGTTGTGAAACTTGTTTATACAAAAGTTGTAGATAATTCATGTATCTAGCTTCTATTAAAATTTGGTGTCATTTGGCCAAGTAGTTTAAGAGTTATAGCTGTTTAAAGTTGGGTTTCAGGAATGACTGCTTTCTGTCAATTGTAGACCAGTTTCTGTAAATGAGTATATTTGACTTAGTTAACTTGAGAATCATGCTAAGATGATTAAAGATGAATTGTAGAAAATTTCATAAGCTTTCCATAATGTCTTCTTGCAAGTCATTTGGATTTGTGTAACTCCAGTTATAGCTAAATCTTGTAGCTGCTGTTTGCATGTCCAGAAATTGGCAGATTCCAATTATAGTGCTTGCTTGTATATTGTTAAGTGTGACGTATGCCTTGAATGATGACTGAGTTAGAGCACTTGAGATCTGGGGAAACTTGTGTCATGATTGGTGTTGTCGTCTTCTTTGCCATCTTAGCATGATAGATTGTGTGATGTTTAAGTTAAGCATCGCAAAGTACTTAAGTGTGTTAGTGTAAACTATGCTTGTCTTGCTTGCTATTTTGTGATGTGTCTCATGGTACTATTCTTCATATTTATGCACTTGCATATTGCATCTCATCTAGGTACGCTAGATGAACCACGTGAAGGACGTGATGTTGGAGCCAAACCCGAAGGCAATGTTTGATGGATCTATCCCGAAGATGGAAGGACTAAGCAAGTGTTAGGACATATGATGTCACCAGGATGGTGCAAGCTAACTGAACTGACTTGTGTCAGATCCCAGACAAGCCCCGGAGCATTATAAGTCTCCTAATTATAAAAGCAATTCTTTCTATATACGAGTTATATATTGTTGCATTAAGTTGTAGGAGTTGATTGAAACCGTTGATGCATTTATTACTATCCTTGCCTACCTTATTACCTTTTTACCCTGTTAGGTCAGGATCTAATAACTGCTTAGCCTTGCTTAGACCGGTAGCGATCGGAGATATCCGATCACCTACATTATAGGTGGTTACTGGAAAAAGTTAGCTATGGAAAGAATGATATCCTGGAATTAACCATGTGTGATGGATAATTGGAGACCGGACGGCCACAGATGGGGTTACTGGGTGCTGTTAGTTTCGCTCATGTATTAATTAAGGACCGACCGTTGTTGGGCCTCGAGTCATGTTGAACGCATGCCCTGGCCGGATAAAGTACCTTCCGACCATGAAGCCGAGAGATTTTTGACTCAGTAGATTGCCCATGAGCGCAAGACCGTGTCAAGTGTGTGTGTAGGACACGGGGCGGGATGATAAGACCAAAGTGCAATCGGTCGGCCCCTGGGTACATGTGGTTCTGGCAAACTCGAGATACACGAAAAGTTGACTCTGGTGATCAATATCTCACTTTAGCGGGTGAGTGAGGTTTGTGTAAGGAATAAATCACCAGCTGGTTAGGAATCGATTCGAATCGCCATCGCTCCTGGATAGTGAGCACTTGACTCGAGTTACTTCATCGTAGTAATTATTATGGAACAATGATGGTTATCTGGATGGTATGGGATATGCTAAATCTAAATTGGTAAGCTGGATGTTATTGGTTAATCAAGTGATTGCTATAGTACAGGTGCTTACCTAGATGGATAGGTCATAATAAAGATGATGCAAAGTATTTAAAATGGTTTCTTCATGATAGCTTATGCTTTTTGCAAACAAGTCATTAGCCCACTAAAGAAAGCCTTGCATGATCCTTGGTGTCATTTGTTTTGGTTTCCGACGGTAAGTCTGGCTGAGTACATTCGAGTACTGTGGTTTATCCCACCTTGTTGCGGTGAAGTTCTCGAATTGTTGTTGATGGTGGCTAACCACCGATGTGGGCTCGGTGATTCTATATTTACTTACATCTCATCTATATGCTTTTGTCGGATGATGTCACTTATGCTAGCAATATATTTGGAACTTATATTAATGTAATCATTTGAAAGCTATGTTGTTTTCACTAAGCGGTTTTGAAACCCAAATTTGTACTATTATTTGTTAAACCCTTTGTAACATTATTTCATTTGCAACCCGATGTATGTGATGTGTATTTGCTTAATCACGCGATCTTGGTTGTGATGTTGATTTACCGAGGTCTTTCGGGACACTTTCGGCGGACTACCGGGTTTATATGAGTGAAAGTATGGGTGTGTCAACGTGTTAGCGGGGACAACCATACTTGATCTTGTATAAATTAGGTTTCATTACATCCTGCCCCGACTTGAAGGCACGCCGCCCGCCGCCATGAAACCTCAACACCACCCTCCCTTCATCCTCGTTGCCTGGCTGGCCCACCTCCCCCGAGCTCCTTCTAAGGTCACCGGATTTGGAGAAGAAGAGAAGGAGTGGCCGGAGACGGAGAAGAGAAAATTCAAGTATTGGATTGCTAAGGCCTTATTTAGTTGGGGAAAGTTTGGAAATTTTGCTACTGTAGCACTTTCATTTTTATTTGGCAATTAGTGTTCAATCATGGACTAATTAGGCTCAAAACGTTCGTCTCGCAATTTCCAACTAAATCGTGCAATTAGTTTTTTTCGTCTACATTTAATGCTCCATGCACGTATCGCAAGATTCGATGTGATGGCTACTATAGCACTTTTTGAAAAAACTTTTTGGAACTTAACAAGACCTAAAAAAACACTCAGGTGTTCTATAGCATTTCCCAATCTTTAAGTTATATTCACCAATAATTTGTACGCCATATGAATTACAATCAAATATGTACTAGCTCATCAACTTATGCTCAAACATTGTTTAGCATCTTACCGCCTGTTCATTTCGACTTATTCGCTCGTATCTAGCTTATAATCTACGGTTTGAACAATGTTTTTCTCTCATACCAAACCAGTCAGCATTACTTTCAGCCATGGCTTATAAGCCAATTCAGGTGTTGAGCCGAAACGAACAAGCCGTTATTCTTTTGGGATAAATTTAGTGTGTATACTAATGAAAATTTATCATCTTTACTCTCTTTGTTTCCTAACACAATACCCATTTTAATACTCTATAATCTCAATTTGGCATAATGAAAAGAGATGGTTTCTGAATATTTAATTTGGCTCATCTGATATTTTTAATATTTTTTAATTAATTTCTGAATCGCAATAAACACGTCCCAGACCATGGCGTCCTCGGGCTCTGTGCGCACGCTCGCCTCACCTGTGACTTCTGACCACTTCGCCCCCTCACACGCAATGTCAAACGCGGCGCGGCCAAGGCCAACACTCCCAACTCCCAAGTCCAAACTGGAGAAGAGTGGAGGCTGCGAGAGACACGCGGACTCGCGGAGCGAGCAAGAAAGAGAGGGCCACTCATGGCGGACTCGGCATCAAAAGATCGTGCGGCGAAGCGGTCAGGAAGGGGAGGCCCGGGAGGGGGAGATGAACCGAAGCAAAAGCGAGCAGGATCCCTCGGTGTCGACGCCGGCGGCGGCGGAGGATCCTCTGCTCCTGCAACGGCGCCGGCGTCAGCGTCGCGCGCTCACCCAGGGAGCGCTGCGGCGTCGTTGGTGGACGTCACGGTTGAGGACGCCGACGCCCTCGACTGCGGCGTGTGCTTCCTCCCACTGAAGTCCCCAATCTTCCAGGTATTGCGGCACACACAAATCCCATCTCCTGACGGTTCTTCTGAACCCAAATGTTCATTGTATGTGCACAAAAAATGACTCCCTGTGTGGCTGTGTTATTTCTTCCAAAAATCTGTCATTTCAATTATAACGATAGATTTAAATCCAACATGAAGATGGATAGCTACATGTCTATAAAAAGATGAATGAATTACATAAAAACTTACTTGAGCAGGACTTCACCCCCAGTTTGGAATTGAAGTTAGTACTGGTCCAATCCTCAACCAGTGTCATTTTCTCACCTCGAAAGTGTCCCCTTGTACTAATATATATGACAAGTAACATACTTTTTATTTTTATTTTTGGGTGGGTTGGGTTGGGGTAGGGGTAGGGGCGGGGGGGTATCAAAGTTGATTTCACGGCAGATGAGGGCTCAAAACATCACATTGAAACCTTAAAATCTCGTAGTAGCTACATTTTTTTCTGCATACTTCAACCAGTTATGACTGAATCTGCATCGAATCTTCATTCAAAGCTTCTAGTAAACAGTATGTTTGTTTAGGGCTTGCTAAATTTTATTGGGATTAGCTGGCCTCCATAAAGACAAGTACCTTCCCTCCCACCCTCCATTGTTTGATGATTTGTGTTGAAAGTTGAAACATAAGCAGTAGTAACAAAGAGTAAAGAACATCTTTTTGTGTTGCAAACCCTTACTGACTTACATGAGGCCTAATCTCCCATTCCTGTATTTTTCATTTAATGGTATGGTCCCCATTCACTTGATTGCCAGAAGGGTGTCCTCTTAGAAGGTCTGAAATCTAGTTAACCCACAAAATTGGTAAAGGCTTTCAAGTTTTTTTTTCCCAGAAAAAAGGCTCTGCTGAAAGTTATAATTTTTTTAAAAAAAATCTATTTTGAATAGGATCTCATTATTCCGAAACCACAACACCTTAGGATGTCACCTGTCATTCTATCCCTTATAAGTTCTAATTTCTCCCTGTTTTGCATGAAACCGGTTTGATTCCTAAAAACCGTATGATCGGGTGATCGATTCCAATATTGAGGTGAGAACCCTAGTTATGATTTTCTAACTGCAATTCAGCGGACTAGTGGATCAATAGTTTTATCTAAAAGGGTGTACCCAGTGCAGAGAGCTCCCGCTCTGTGCGGGGTCAGGGAAAGGGTGTCGGTGGCAAGCCTTACCCTCGCCTGTGCAATGCGAGGAGACCGCGACTCAAACCCGGGACCTTCCGGTCACAGGAGGTAAGACTCTACCGCTTGCACCAGGCCCGCCCTTCATCAATAGTTTTATCTATCCCTTAAAAAAGGGTTCTATCCTAGCATCATTTTCACAATTTAGCGGGTGCAAATAATTCCATAGTTCATTCTTGAAACATTCAATTTCTCACCGTCAAAGTCACTACATCCCAGCATATGTGCAATTGATCATGTTTGTGTCTGTAGTGCTACTCACCATCCTTAGTTTCTGCTGAAGTAAATGATCAGACATATCATCCTCCTCAAATCAGATTGCCTATCCAAAACAGAGCACCTCTAACTCTAAGAATCAGCTTATGGTTGTGGGTTAGGAACCATTATGCCCTGTCTGATTCTGTTGACTGACATTCCAGATTCATAAGGAACCAAAGCAACCTTGCTATTCTGATTCTGAAGTGCAATTAAACTACTTTTTTAGGAGGAGCACTGCTGGACTTTTCCACATTTTTCTTTGCAGCAGCCAACTTACAATAATATTGTTTCTGTATCTGCTGAAGCATATAATTCTCTTTTCGAGCATGCAGGAGTAGGGCCAACTGTCTTTGTTCAAATAATAGCTCTTGATACTTTTTTTCGACCCTGCTTCAATATGCATCAATACGTAAAAGAAACCAACACCATCCGCATGATCGATGCTATAATATTTCGCGCACTTGCTTTATCTCTGGCCATATTGTGTATATATTGGTTCATTCATGGATGACTTACCTTTTGATGTGTGCTGATGACACATGCATGCAGTGCGACGTGGGGCATGTTGTCTGTTCACTGTGCCGTGATAAGCTCCAGGCCACGGGCAAGTGCCATGTGTGTGGGGTCGCCACCGGCAACTACCGCAGGTGCCATGCCATGGAGCAATTAGTGGAATCCATCCGCGTCCCATGTTTGTACGCTGCCCATGGTTGTGCCTTGAGGGCGGCCTACTATGATCAAGAAAGCCACCGCTTGGTGTGCGAGCACGCGCCATGCCACTGTCCTGGTGAGGCTTGCAGCTTTGTGGGCTCCACAGCTGCGCTCCTGGACCATGTCAGCACGGCACACAAATGGCCATGCATCACCACAGTCAAAACCAACGATAATGGCTATTCTAACGTCCATCTCCATGATGGCTTCAACCTCATCCTCGCTGATTGCTCCATCGGAAACAAGAACAAAGGTTCCACTTCCAGCGTCCAGTGCCTTCTCCTACTGACTGTGGAGCGGCAACAGCTTGCCCGCTTCATCTCTGTGCACTGGATTGACCCTCACGCTGCCGGCACCAGTGGTAGTCAGGGACCAACCTCAAAGGAAATGGAATGCAAGCTTTGGTACAGTGCGAACTTTGAACTTATCCGCTGCAGTACTTGGTTAATCCGCCATTTCCAGTCATGGAAGTTCAGAGTAGCCCGCACAAACCTCTCTAATGGGCTGCCTAAACCTGACGACTGCTTCCAGGTTGTCGTGCCAAATTCAGTTGTTGGAGATGGTACTGGTATCCAGATCGAAGTTCGCATTGACATAAATTGAAGTAGATTGGTGTGGGTCAGTCTTAACTAGTTATGTAAATTAGAACCTGCTGGTTAGCTATGTCACCGCCCACTACTTGCTTAGTTTTTGGACCTGTTGGAAGTGTCGATCCCAGTTCAAGTGACATGTCAATGATTAAGTGTAGTAGCCTAGCATGTGGTGGTGTTGGTCTCTAATAGTTTGTTTGCATAGTACTTCGAATGACAGCTGCTCTATCTTGTATTTGGCAATGTTAGTTTTAATAATGTTATTAGTTGGAGGGATCCACTGACGAGATGTGTTAGAAAAAAAATCCTAAAGCTCTAAAAAATCATAAAATTGTTGTAAAACAGAGTGCTTAACCACATGATCTCTACTTTAATTAACATGAACAACGCCCTGTTCGCTTGGCTGAAAAGTACTGTTCGTTGATTTGTTGTGAGAGAAAAATATCGTACCATGGTTGATAAGCGATGCTAAGTTCAAAGTGAGCTTGGTGAAGTAGATTGCGGTCGTCTTCAGGGGAATTCAGCGTCCTTATGATCGGTTGGCTTGAGTCGGATGGTGTTAGTGGATAACACTAGCTCGCCATTGCAATGGAACAAGCGTGCAAAAAAAAAAAAGAGAAAAAAACAAGACCTTCGTATCATGCTCGTCGTCTCCGCCGGCGTGGTTAGGCACGACGAACTGGTACCCCCGTCGTGGAAGGGCACACATGGTACTTGCCACTGGACTTGAGTCTGTCATGGTCATGGCACGGTGAGCAGACAGGGTGCCCCACGTCGGACTGTGTGCATGTGTTATCAAAAAGATATGCAAAATTGAACGACCAATTGTTGTTTGAGAGCTATCATGAATATAATGAAACATACTCCTACACTATAGGAGTAAGACACTATTATACTATCTGCTAAGTTCTTGGGACTTGCTAGTAGTGCTAGTTTCTCCCAGGAAAGAAAAGTAATGGAAACTAAAGAATGGTACTCCTCTGCATCACTTCGTTCTCCAATATTGGTCTGTTCTTCATATCAGTCAGTTTTCTAAGTTAAAACAAATTTCCTAAGATTAAATCATATTAAGTATTTTTAAATGTATATTGGTCTAGAAATATTTGGATATATTTTAAAAGAAATTATACAATTTTTTTTTGATAAAGTTCAATTTCCCTCCTAGAATTATCGCAAAAGTCTAATTTATCTCCCTCGTGGCGCCACCTAGGACAGCTGATGTGACGCCATGTCAGCTAAAACTGTTTTCAAAGCAGCTCGAGACGGTTTCAAAAGTTGGAGCAATCTAAAAGTCTAGTTTTTTGGTTGAGGGAGCCAAATTGAACTTGTGTAATACTCGAGGGACGTCAGGTGAACTTTTTCGACTTGGCGATGACTAGGCCACTGGGGCCCATTTGGATGGAAGAAATGGATCCGTTTCTCACATGAATCGCTAGAAACGCTGCCAAACGGGTCAACTGCTCGGAGCTCTTTCCTTCGTAAATATTCGAAAAGGCGATAGAGTAGTTTCGCAGGGATTCGCTCGTCCCTGCATGCACCTATCCTTTGTTTTCGTCAAGATTACAATACCTGCCACCGTCTCCTTATCCCCTCGTAGCCTGGGATGAGCGGGACGGACGCCCCGTGGCTGAGCGGACCGACGTCGAGAGCCGGAGCACTGGACTCCCCTCGTTAGCTCTTAGTCCAGAATTAGCCCACATTTAGACGTTCTAATTGGTATCCAAGAACATTAGCTCTGGGATCAAAACACTCCCTTAGTCACACTGTCAATAATCTAGATTTGGAGCCAGTAGAGGTGAGTTGAAAGCATTAGGTTAGTTTCTTCTTGGGTGTAGCTTAGAGGGGCTTGAGGCTGTTCCTGGAGGATGATGTTTTGATAATGGAAGGAAGCTGCAGTGTCAAAGGTTTTTCTTCACTCTGCTTTCGTCCTGAGCTGTTTCTTTTGTGGTTGTTAACGGTTGTAGTTTTGTTCGTTTTCTCTTGTAAGCTAATATCCTTAGCAGTTCAAACGCATGTATATGGTGCTTTCTATAAAAACAAGGTTTACCTCCGTAGAAAAAATATGAATATTTGAATCACTTTAATTTAGGTCTACAAATTGCACAACATGGATCTCGAATTTAGGTCTAGAAAAAATGGAATGAGGTGCTTTCTTTGTGGTTGGTCTTAGATATAAGAGCTCTTCCTTTCTTAATAAATCATCAATCTAAACTGCAACATCTCAACATTTTTTAGATATAAAGGTTAAATTATTTTATAAGAAAATGGAATGATTTTTATAGAATGTTAACTCAAGCTCGAAAAAATAATTCTGAACTATATATACATGAACAAAATCATAAAAGGATTTTGGTTTAACTTGTTATAGAGTTCAAAATTAGAAGAAAAAACAAACGAAAAGTTCATTTCTTCAGCAAGACAAATAGAAGATCCTCAATAATGGTTCCTAGGCTAGGGAGTAGCGGTAACCACCATTCGAAACCTAAGTGCCTTCATTAAAAGGAGGAACATCCACGACAACTTTCTATATGTTCAGAACACAGTGCGGACAATGCAAAAGATGAAGCTGCCTGCACTGTTCCTCAAACTTGACATACACAAGGCTTTTGACACGGTCAGCTAGAGCTACCTCCTTGAGGTATTGTAGGCCTTAGGTTTCGGACCACGCTGGCGGGAGTGGGTTTCGATCCTTTTTCGCATGACATCATCGAGAGTGCTGCTAAATGGATAACAGGGTCCAGCTTTCAGCCATAGGAGAGGGGTTCAACAGGGTGACCCTTTATCCCCCATGTTGTTCTGTCGGCACGAAATTTCGTCTCGTGCCGAGGGCACACGAGCAAGCCGGAAGGGTCTGCTCGATGGAGCTGTAGATCCGCCTAGCTTCAACGCAGGGGTGGTCGATCCTACGTACTTCTCCCGAGACGTGCTACTCAATTTGACCCTGCAATTGACAAGGAGAGAGTTTATCAGTAATTTAGGACAGAACGTGCCAGTGTTGCCAGACAGTCCCGAATGTGCGGCTCTGAGAGCCGATATGAAAGGAGATCGATTAAATAGTCGATTCCAGCATATTCATAAGAATAAATCAGTTAAAGCTCATGGGGTTGTGTAAGAAGAATCGGTTATTGTTCAGGGTGAATATCATTATTTAGACAAATATTGATCAATGGCAATAAGATGTCAACATTAATTAGTCTATGTCAAGCCAATGACGGCAAGCAACCGAATTCTTTTTATAAAAACATAATTCATCATCATTTAACCATTTAATAGAGATAAACCTAATGAATATATTAGATCTCATCTACCAGTGGGGCATAAGGCAGAATCATGCAGGCCGTAGAAACAACAACAGATTCGACGACCCTAACTTATTACTAATATCAGTGGGGCATGAGGCAGAATCATGTAGGCCGTAATACAGTAATAAGATAATGGGGCTAACACATCTTTCAACCGATCCCTACTTCAACGATCTCGTGACGCGAACTATTCGTGAAAGCACTCGATATCAGCTAAAACTGCCGATTCAGGCATAGCGCACAGTTGAGGTCATGCCTTATCAGGAACGGATCTACCAAGTAACGATCCCTACTCCACGGTGCTAACAGTGAGGTGTGAGGTAGAATCACACAGGCCGTGATAACGAGCCATAGAAAGGTTTTCGCTAGCCAATAGATCTACTCAAGACGCAACATGCCTTAACCGCACACCATGCACAATCAAGATTGACATAAAACAACTGATAAAACATAACTCATCGTTTAACATGTAGATTAGACCAGTTTTTGATTAACAAACGATGGGTTAAACAGGGTATAAGGCCGATCTAGATCAATCCCAATCGGGCGAAGTAATATTGCTGTAATTAAATATATAATGGAAGCAATAAACAATACCGGTAACTTAATGAATCTATCCGAAGGAACGCCACCCTTAGATATAGCCGATAACTTGACCTTAATCTAGTTCGAGCAGTGGAGGTCGACCGGATCGATGCAGCCGTACTTGAACTAAACATGAGTCGATAACTAGATTATACCAGAGTCGCAGTGGAGGTCGACCGGATCGATGCAGCCGTACAAACAGAAGTATAGGCCATGACGGTACTTACAGACAAGCCGGAGGTCGGCCGGACCAATGCAGCCCTGCTCGCTGAAGAACTCGCCGAGATCTACTCTACTCCAACTCCTAAGGGGTGGCCGGAGCCGAAAAAAGTAAGAAATTTGTATTTGATTGATTCTGTTTTTTACAATAGCCGAGGTTCAATATTTATACCCGGAACCTAAACATGAATCCTACTCAAGTATGGCTTGGTACAATCTTCGGCATGAAAAAAACATTCCTATTTTAAGATAACTTGGACTCTAATCTTTTCCCTTTTGTAGAGTCTGATATGTATCCTCCTGACGCCAATCGTAGCTCATCATCGTTATCTGCCAACATCGTTCAAAGATAGTCGATTCCAGTGTCACATCCGAACCGGCTGATATCGATCCTTATGCAATCGATTCCTTGATTGGCACAATCTTAGAAGCCTGCGAGTTCCCGCGTTTGTCTCCCAAATTTTGGTGTAAACACATGCCCCCCAATTTTGGGATAAAATGATTTTATTCCAAAATTCTAGTTTATTGGTTTATCATGCCGCAACTGTTCTATCCCGAGATATACGCATGACTCCTGACTTTCCGACCCGAATCTTATATGACATCCCAATAGTATTTATCCCAACTCACTCGGCCTTTTCGCTTTCTCCTTCTTTCTCGAGCCAACCTTAATAGCTGACGCCATCATTGCCAAGGCCTCAAACCCTAGCAAACCCTCGGTTCTATCAAGCCGTCATCTAAGCGATCTTCATTGGATTCAAACCTATTTCGGTTGTAATGGCGACCATCGACCATGTCCCTGAGGTATGTCTCCAAGTTTCCACTCTCCAAGCATCGACCGCTATCTTGTATTTCTTTTCTCCTCAAATTTATTTCGTTCGATTTTTAGGAAATGAGGAACGAAATC